TGTAGTAGTTGTGTTCAAATTGAAAGCTTTCCCGCCAAAATATTGAAAACAAGTAGGATAGGTCAAAACCCGCATTACTTTCCGAACAACCTAATACTACCGAGCTCTGGATTTCTAATTTTTCGTCGCTGTCACGTGAGGCGAGCGTTATCGTGCAAAAACAAACTTCTTTCATTTTGGATAGTTGTGAGGGGTTGCGTCGGAAACCTTCCGTAGTTTTTTAGAGTGCACTGTCACTGTTCTGTCGAGGTAGTAGGCCACTGGCGCTAGTAGAGAGGCTTCGTCAGCAATCCACACACGGAGACCCTTCTTCTGCTGCGAACCCGTCCCGATTGCTTCGCTGGCTGTTCCCCTTTGGCCATCGCATTCCCTTATGTACACCAGACAGACAGGCCCCGGCTGTCGCCTCCTTTTACTAACCCAGTCAACAGGTCCTCCCCGCACGGACAAATAAGTAATTACTCGACATCCGGGTGAATAACGGTCGAGGATTTCCTCGACCATAGCTCTCTACCATGCGAGAGCAGTGCCGAGAGTAACATTTCGCGCGGCAGAGCAAGCGGCCCCAGCAGAGTCAACCCTGCGTTGCGCAGTTCGCAACGGCACGTTGAGAGATCCTCAACGCACGCTGTATGGGCGGAGACACAGACGGCTCGAGCATGCGAGTGTGAATGTTCGCGCGAGAGAACGTGTCTAATCGGGCGAAACTGCGCAACGTGGCCGTTTGAAGCGCAATGGGCGGGGCGGGGCCAGGGTCAACCGTCTGTTCGAACTGTTCGAACGAAGGGGTCGCATTTTGGTCGGAAGGGGGTCGCAATTTCGAGGACTGTCAGCCACAGGCGCGTGCGTGGCGTATCCGAGGGCAAGAATTGTTTGTGCAGACCGCATTAGATTCGATTAATTATGCACAGAGAGACAGTTTTAGGCAAATTACGGTGTTTTCCTTGAGGAATAGAGAACAGTTGAATGCATCCCTATGAAAGGTTTGACTTCTCGGGGCTGAAATTGAACTTCTTCGGGAACCTACTTCTACGCCCCCCCCCCCCCCCCCCCCCCCCCCCCCCGGACGGTTCTTCCACAAAATCGTGAAACACATAAGAAAGAAGAAACCTCGCGGTCTTCAAAAATGTCTTCGCCTCTTTCCAACATGCTCTTTGAAGGAAGTTATTATTGCTGAAAGCTCGAAACCTCGCATGTGCTGCTCAAAAACCTATGGGATCCAAATGTTCGAACGTGGGATTTTCTCGAAAAATGAACTTTGAAAAATGGTTTAGGGCTTGTTAGAAAGAGCAAATTCTGCTCTTTCACCCCATGGAAAGAGGGAAACGCAGCAATCAAAATGAAGCGAGTTATGCTCGTTGAAAGCCCAAAAACTCGCGATTTCAAAGAATGTGTTCGGCAAAACCGCCCGAAATGTTCGAACGTGGGATTTTCTCGAAAAATGAACTTTGAAAAATGGTTTAGGGCTTATTAGAAAGAGCAAAACCTGCTCTTTCACCCCATGGAAAGAGGGAAACACAGCAATCAAAATGAAGTGAGTTATAGTCGCTGAAAGCTTAAAAACTCGGTTTTGCACGGGAACTGTTCGAACGGGGCAAATTTTTGAAAAAGGGGACAATCACTTAACTTTTTATAATCTTTTGTTAGAGAAATATTTGAAGTTTCTAAAACTTTTCACAAATTTCCAAGATGTCGCATACGAAAGATTTTATGAGCTCTCAAAGTTGGAGGTGCGCCTTCTCAGAATTTTGGGTTTTCCGCTTCTGACAGAAATACTTTTGGGAGAGTTAGGTCATCCTTGCAATTTTCTGTAAAGCCACCTCAGGCACAGTTTAAACCTACCTCAATAAGTGAAACAAATACGTCTCAAGAAAGTTACACTCTCCCTAAAACTTTTTCTTCGCCGCGTCCCAGTTTTCCAGCGTCCGGGTGATACCTGCCGCGCTCCAAGGTTGACGCCGCAACGCAAACGCTTTCTGCGGCGGTTTCTGACGCAATCATGTCAGTCCTACTCTTCTTTAATCCTTCCTCTTTTTTCAGCTGTTTGAGCAGAAGTTCGTCAGTCTTCATGTTACTTGTTGGATATCCCTCCATTTGGTCTTACACATTTCGCTTTCATCCTCATTTTGGCGTGATTGTGAGCGAACAAAAATTTTGATCTCGCGAGGCTAACCATAAAAAATAGCTTTCATTAGCCAGTGCCCTGTGATTCTTGCTCCTTTGGGGCTCATCTTAGGAGATGCATTGATGGAGAACGTAACTCTCTTTGATTTACTCCCTTGAACTGCTCTTGTGATTCTTTCGGAAGCATGAAGTTTGAAGTTTTGGGCAACATGAAAAAAATATTGAATTTTTTTCAGAAATTCAATGATTTTTTGAAAACAATTCAATTCAAATTTCAGTGAAGATCTCAATATTCAAATGTTCTGTTCATATTTCATGGAAGTTCATTGTCCATTTGAAAACAATGAACTTACGAACTTACGAACACAACATTTGAATATTGAATTCTTTACTGAACATTTGAATTGAATTTTTTTCAAAAAATCATTGAATTTTTGAAAAAAATTCAATGATTTTTTGAAAAGAATTCAATTCAAATGCCAGTGAAGAATTCAATATTCAAATGTTTTGTTCTATGTCATGGAAGTTCATTGTCTTTAAAAGGTTTTAGTTCACTGTCTTTGAAGTAAAATGAGTGAAATAAATATTTCACTTAACATTTAGTCAGCACATTCGGCACTTCCATTACCTAAGAGGGGGTCGCAACTGGACCCCCTTGAGATAAGGGGGTGACCCCCTTGAGAAAAGGGGGTCGCAAAAACCCTGAAAATGTTCGAACGTGACGGTTGACCCTGGGCGAGGGTGACCTGCGCCCAACACGAAGTGTTGAAGTCCGCGCGGCTCGACTCCTGAGGGGATCCTCAGCGATATTCACCTGCTCGACATGCTGACACGACAGGGCCAATCCGATTCGCGGAGTCCGTGGGAGCCCATGGAAAAAAATTTCGCGGAAGTCAAGAAGGAAAGACGATTGCTGACAGTCATATTGATGCACCCGTCAATCGTTGCTAATTCACGAGTAGTAATGTTCTGTTTCGAGCTTAAAGCACTGTTGGAGAGTTGATGGATATTCAGAAGCGTTCCTAAGGCTTCGATGGCGCAGAAGTGTCGCGGACTCTCAAGCGTGATCCAAACGGTGACGAGTGACATGGTTGAACTACACATCCTTTCGGGATAAAACGCAGATGTCGTCAACTGCTTCCATTGCAGAATGTCCTCTTAGGAATTCATAGTATACGACAGGTCGAATAGTGCTCGTGCTTGTGGGATCTAGAGATTGGCCCTATTAGAATATATGGCCCCGACTATGGCCGTACACAAGGTATATGGCCGGAGATATGCTTGTCCGTGTAAAGAAGGAACTCTATGTAATACTTTCAATACAGCTGCTAAGCACAGTCTATACCGTAACTCAAAAGGTATGACTATTATCTTTTTCAAGCCGCTAGCGATGTATGCTATACGAAGTTATTACGCCTTCCGGACAACCCAATAATTTGCGCTACACTGCCAAAATAAATTGCTCGGTTGCTAAACCCACTCGATGAGCTTCTGTTCTTTGCACTAAGGCGAATAACGCGCAGCGAAAACGAGCGAGTCAAAAAGGTCTTTTTACGCAAAACTTGAATGAAGCTCATCAGAGCGCTACAGAGTAGTTCGATGTAACTAGTTTGTCATGACAGCCCTCTTTCGGCTACTCGGAGATATCAAACATGTTTAATAGAACGCACAGAGACAGGAAATCAGAAGCAAGGTACAGCAATAGCGAGAAGAGTCAGTCATGGAAATCGACTCTCTGTCCATTACGCTCTGAAAGCGCATTTTTTTGCTCCAATGGACTGTATGTGCCTATGGCACTAAGCACTCCACGAGTAGTACGTAGGCTAACTGTAAGGGGAAGGGGTGTGTCGCGCGTATGCGTGATGTGGCGAGAAGTGGCACAGGGTTGCGTCCAGGATATCACCACAATGAAGCTGTCGACAACGCCGCGTGAGAAGCGCCCTGAGTCGAACCTTCTGTTTCTTTGCAATCAGGAGCATCCCTCATATGGTGAGTCAATATGGTTGCAACTGCCAAACGCTGCATGTGTTTGGCAGTTGAACTCCAAGGTCTTGATCACAGGGTAAACGTATCGGTAGCGTAAAACGTAGGGTAGAGTACATGGTCCGTAGAAGTATGTGCTTCCAGGCGTGGCGACGTATCGACGGACCTATTCGAGGCTCTACTAGTTTCTCGGACCATTATTTCTGGTCACCCTGTAATAGATGCTCAACTTTTCGAGGTTGGTGCAAAATTTCGAATTTCGCTGGAATTTTGTGTATATTGGTAAGTGGGTGTTCTGGGTACGAATATGAGATCCGTTTTCGGCGCGGAGCCGCAACATTCGGATTCCACCAGCTCAGCTCGCCTCATAAACGTTCTTCTTCCAACTTTGAAAGCTCACTTCATAGGAAAGTTCACATAGCAGTTTTAGTGCCCATATTTGTAATCAGCGTCCAAATCAAAACTACTAGGTCTCCATTCAGAGTTCCATGGGAATTGCAAGGCACTTTCTGGGTAGCGAAACTCCAAGAACGAAGAGGTCAGGAACACTGAGTGTCTTGGCGTCTAGATTGTGAGTTGCATACTCTTTAAAGAATAACACTACCAATTCATTGAGAAAATAAGAGTTCTCATCCTCATAACATTTTCAATCCGCAGTCATATAAGCCGAATTCACTTAGCAGCGAGCGTCGCTGACTATCTTTGCAAAAACAGTGTCGCATCGGAAACACGCGCATCATATGCGGACTCCCTAATACGCAATCATCCGTAAAATGAAAGTTATGAGGGCCACCTGTATTGACCAGAAAATTTGATTTCTGAAACCACAAAGCATGTAGGCATACCTGTGGTACAGGTTCAAAATTGATGTAAATCACAGAATGATCAAATCAACGACAGGTCTCGTGTAGAGCATTTTTCAAATTGCGAAAATCGAAAATGAGTGGAGGGAGGAAGTCTTTCATCACTTTCCTGAAAAGGTGTGGTAAACGCTAAACGTAAGTGTTACAATAGGCATCACTTACTTGCAATTCCTACAAGTTGTATCGAACACTTGTTGCAGCTTGCCGAATGCACTGCTCAATTGATGTAACGTTTGCGGAGTCCTGAACAGACGAGATGTAATAGATTAAGAAGACTATGAAACTAAAACAAAAAAAAAATACAAAAGTAGTCAAAACAAATCAAAACAGATAAACAAATATTCAAACTCACCAACGAATTTCTTGTGTGTTGATCGTCTGCATAAGATGGATGTTCGCTTGGGTAGTAAGCTTTTGATAGACAATATACTGCGAGGGTTTTGCGAGGTCTACCTGGAAGCACTCAATTAAAACTTTTCACATCAAATATATAGTTCACAAAGGATATTAAAGTCTATTTAGCGCTAATTGAGTGCTAAACTCACTTTAATAGTCCTTCGTGAGCCCAAATACTCAATATTATTTGATATCCTTACCCTCTTCTCTCCAAGATCTGTATAAAACGTCCACTCTTCGTGTGGTGCTACGAAAAGAATTTGTTCTATGACTCCTGCATTTTCCACCATTAACAATTTTTGGGTGAAGACAATTTGTTTCTCAAATAAAACGCCATATCGTAGCTGAAAATGGGTAAACAAACCTCCAAAGTACAGAACGTGAAAGTGTATTCAAATGAGAAATAAGAGTGCAAAAAGGGATTAGTACAGTTATACTCCTAACCTCAACAATACTTCCTACAGCTGTACGCTCGAGAAAAGTTGGGAAAATGCCTGTCTTGTTCTTGAGTAACTCCTTTTGGAACTAGAAAAAAATATAAGCTTTAGCTAGATCAAAAACAGATAGACTGTGGGAATGATATCTGGATATTTTTGGGAGGGCACACACCTGAGCGAAAGCTGTTTCGAATTGAGCATGGGGTGACATTCCGGTAGCCCAGTGCGAACACGACAACGGCCGAGGCACTATACATGAAGGGCGACGCCGTTGAAGTCGAAGAAATTCGCCCAGATACATGTAAGTTTGCTAAAAAAAATAGCTTATAACCATACAAAATTTCAAAACCATGATAAGGCTCAGCAGACTTACGAAATTTCCTTCGTTCCAATTCTCACAATCAATCATGGACTCAACGGTTTCCACGACTTGAACGTCGAGTTGCTCTTCCTGAAACTCTTACTTGGTAATGAGAAGAATTATGAAAGAAAGGAGAGCCTAAACTCCCGCCAACTGTACCTGAAACACAGCTCGTAGACGATTGAGAGGTTCGATCTGAGGTAACTGATTTGGCAACCCTTTCGCATGACTTTCGAGATTGCTAGAATTATGGTAGAATTAACTCACGCTTTGATTTTTTTCTCGGAAAATATTGCGATAGCAGATGTGCAA